TTTCTAGTTGGGCTACTCGTAATAGTCTTACCGATGTAATCCGTGCCAAGACGTTCAAGACACTGGTCGACGGCATGGAAGACGTGTTTCCTGCTCAGACCCATCTGATTCACGAGTGGACCATCATTGACGCTGGCGGGCCTGGAGTCATCGTCTGGAACGGGGTTGAAGATTTTGGAGAGAATGACGACTTTTTGGCGCGGAATGTTGAACTTCTTCAGAGCCTTGCCGATGATCACCTCGGACTTTCCGTTTGAATATGTGTCTGCCGTGTCCCAAGTATTGATGCCGTTGTCATATGCTGCCTTCAAGATCTGGAGTCCCTCTTCTTCATCAAGGACCCATGGTGAGCCCTCCCATTTGGAGGAACCAAAGGTCATGCATCCGAGGATGATTTTGGAGACCTTCAGGCCTGTATTGCCGAGTCTACGTGATGACTATTAGCTTCTCAAAAATAGCTTCAATGCTTATGATAGTCGGCTCTAGTGAATAGGGGGGCAATTTCATGACAATTCATGAGCGATTGTGCTTGGGATCATTGCGGTACTGACCTCACGTATTCCATATTACATGTATTGACCCCAAATTGTCTTTAGATAGGTCTGTCAATTCGGCTTGATTGAGCTTGATTCCGCTGGCAGTTGGCGCTCTGTAGCAATTCTCAACCAATTCATACGGATCCCCGAGGGTTTGTTTTGTACCATCACGTCATTTCACCTCTCTCTTCGGCATCACTTCATCGGCCTTCAGCTCTGTCGCCGGGATCCCTCACCACCCCCACCACCTCCGACTGCGCGATGCCCCTCTTACTCAGTGCGGGGAAGCTCCCGGACAGAGATCCACCGGTGGGATGCTCGGCATACTCACCGATGCCCGGATTAGACGACCTGCATCGGCGAGCTGTCCGACCTACATGTTCTGAAGTCTGACCTTCGCGTGTGGCAGCATATCCGTTCCTCAGTCATCGGATATGTTCGGTAAATGTGCAGGCGACAGAGGTATGAGGAGAAGCTCCGACAACGTACCCATGCGTGCAAACTGTACCCCTCATGACGGCACAGCGAAATCGGATCAGTTAAAGCCGAGGGGCACGCGATCGCGTCTCTTTTGTGACGAGACGCGTGAAGATTCCCTGACGGTAGAACTTTGCTTCCACAAGACCTTCTCTAGAGAGTTGCATACCAAAAGTTGAGCCAAAATGTCAAACGAAATCCTCGTAACTGGCGCCGCAGGCTTCGTTGGCCAGGCCCTAGTCTCTGCCCTCATCAAATCCGACCCCTCAGCAACCCTTACAATCACAGATGTAATCGAGCCCCCCATCCCCGCCGATGTGGCAGGGGAAAGCAACAAGATCAATTCCTTGAAAGCCGACCTCACCGACCCGGCAGCAGTGAGCTCTCTGCTCTCGAGGCAGTTCTCAGCTGTCTACCTCCTGCACGGCCTCATGTCCGGCGGGGCGGAAGCGAACCTCGACTTAGGCCTCAAAGTCAATCTCGATTCCGTCCGAGCCGTCCTCGATCACCTCCGGAATAATTACCCCGGCACCACGGTCGTCTTTACTAGTTCGTGCGCAGTCTACGGCCCGCGTCAGCCTGTTATCGAGAGCGAGACTGTGCCGAAGCCGCGGACATCGTACGGCACCGAGAAGCTTATTATCGAGTTGCTAGTGGAGGACTTCTCGCGGCGTGGGCTCATCGACGGCCGCATTGTGCGACTTCCTACAGTCACAGTCCGACCTGGCGCGCCTTCTGCTGCGGCATCGAGTTTCGCGTCGGGTATTGTTCGTGAGACTCTAAAGGGCATCAAAAATGTGTTGCCTGTTAGCCGTGATCTCGAAGTCTGGGTCTGTAGCCCCGCTACGGTGGTGAAGAACCTTGTTAAGGTTAAGGATGTGCCGAAAGAGAAGTTTGGGGAATCGAGAGTCGTTAACTTACCTGGTATCACCGTTACGGTGCAGGAGATTCTTGATGCGGTGGAGAAGGTCGGTGGCAAAGAATCATTGGCACTCATCGAAGAAAAGAAGGATGCCGCCATCTTGGCTATTGTGGAGACATGGGCTGCTCGGTTTGATGTGAGCAGGGCTTATGGCTTGGGTCTGGAACCTGATGGTACGATTTTGGAGGCCGTTGAGGCATTTGCGAAGACTCTTAAGGCATGATCTCCCCATAGAGCGATCAGCCTAATAATCATGCAATCCACCACTGCTTTCCCAACTCTACTCCGCATGCTGCTCGTGTCCGACTCTATCGGCTATCCTGGTCATTGGCAAAGTGCTAACAAGTACTTTGAGTACCAACATGTATCATGCCATACGTTTCGAAGACATAAGAAGTGTCATGATTTGCTCCGCTTGCCTCAGTGGTTTCAAACTACATCGACCCAATCCTTATTTTCCTCAACATCTTGCTACCATTCGCATCCCACGGTTGTGATCATGAGAGGACGGATGTATCATTGCCATGGTATCTATGCGGGCCTATTCATAGCCTAGAGCTTTGACCTTGGCCTTCTCACAGGCTTCTTTTGCCGTGCTCTATCCTCAGAAACTACCAAATGATCAATATCTAGAGTGTTCACCATCGCGGGGACAGCTTGACTGAGGCTGTTAATGCCACAAAGTCTCATCGAAGTCTCCAACTCGTCTTTCAGAACTAATGCGCGTTCAATGGTCAGCTTATACCCGAATAGATCAGATGACAAGCAACGAGGACTTACTTTGAGAGAGATGCTCTACACCATCTTGACCATACACGAGAGAGTACAAGAACGGTCGCCCGATGCCCACAGCTGTAGCTCCGAGGGCGATTGCTTTGAGGATATCCGAGCCGCGCTCGAAACCGCCATCGATGTAGACTTCGAGCTTCTCGAAAATTTCGGGACACTGTTCTCGGAGCTCTAGCAGAACTAGGATAGAGGCTTGCGATCTTTTGTCCAACCATTGTCAGCGTGTCTGCCCATCTCCAGTGATAGCTCGAGATTCAAAACTTACCCATCCAGAGATCGACCACCATGGTTGCTCAGGAAGACTGCTTCAACCCCGTACTCAACCGCTAACCTGACATCATCTGCAGTTTGAACACCCTTGAGGACGATTGGTACTCCGCTAGCCTCTCTGATCCAGGTTAGATCCTCCCATGTAATCGACTTGTCGATGTATTGCGCCATTAAGCGGCCGAGCCCGCTGCCTTTCTTGTCCTTGCTACTTTCAGCGCCGCTAATGGCTGCTCGGATCGTTCCTGCTTGAGCTGCACGCTCGTCTGCCTCTCTCTTTCCAGGGACGGGGGCATCGACGGTCACGAAGATTGCTTTTATGCCCAGTGCACGTGCCGATCGGAGGATCTCGATCGTCTTGTGACGTTCTGAGTTGATGTAAAGCTGGAAGAAGAAGGGCTGTGACGGCGGCGCGGCGGATACGATAGACTTGAGGGTATAGGATGCATTGCTCGAAATCTAATGCCCTTGATTAGCTGCGGCACCTATCGGCTCCTTTCTGTTGGATACTCACACATTGAATAATTCCTTCATTTGCTGCACCGCGACTGAGAGCCAGCTCGCCATCTGGATGCACAAGCTTTGCCATCGCGGCAGGCGAGATGAAGAACGGGGCTGAGCTTTCGAATCCAAGAATGTTCGTCTTCATATCGATATGCGAGACATTTCTTAGAATCCTTGGCCGGATCATAATTCTTCTTGTGAGTTGCTTATTGTTTCGGTGTGTGATCAGATCGGTAGCCGCAGATGAGTAGAAGGCCCATGTCTTTGGCGTCAGCGCTTTCGAGGCCACAACTTCTAGATCTGGCGCACCGATAATGGACTCTAGAGGCGGGATGGTGTCTTCGTCGGCAGAAGAGTGCTTCGAAGTCTCGGCGGGGGCAGATAATGTGCCATTGACACCCTCTGGTTGCGATGCTGCTGCAGGCACGTCTGGAGTGGCATCTTTCAGTATGCCGATGAACTTCTCGTCTGGTAGCTCCTCCAGGATATCTGGTGCGTGGACTTCATCGAATATCTTTGTGGCATTTGAGCCAGCGCACTTTAGAAGAACTGACAGGTGCTCATTCGTCAGTTTCCCAAAGACCTAGACTAGCAGGTTGTGCCAGACTCACCCGACGGACCTCCCGGATGCTCGTTGATGAAGTCTGTGATATCCCAGACTTTGGAGTGTACTGCTATCCAGCAGTCCGACTTGGTGTTGTGCTTGCTGAGATCAGTCACACTTATCGTGGCTCTCTCACTCTCCTCTGGCTTTGTCGTCATTGTGTTTCGAAAATTGCTGGCGTTCGGACTCGCTTCTCGCCGGTTTACAAACACATTCCGAAAGTCTACTAGTAACAAGGCGCCTGAGATCTCTTTTGCGAGAGGATGTTTGGTCAAGTACGTTGAAAATGGTGTAGCCTGATGTTTAGATTCCATGTACCAATTCCCAAAGTTGCCACAGCCACCGTCAAACCCTATTAACCCCTACACCGCGTTTGTCTGAGACCTAATGGCATCTCGGATCGCCTCACAGATCGCGACATCCCCGTCATTCCGGCCGGTGCTTTGCCACCCCTGTAAGCTCCGCACGCTCGTTCCCCATGTTTCGGCATTCTCGCCGATGTGGATAGCGGGTAAGCGACCATTGCCGGGAGGATTGATTCTCGCTCGTAACCACATGACTTCTTACGAATCCTCAAACATGTTCGCTACTACTGGTCTACTGGATGAAGGTTTTCCATGCAGGTAGGAAAGAGCAAGCTGGTTGCGTGATCGGAGCAGAAGCCGTGTGGGATGTGATTCTTCGCCATAAGCTGGCCGAGGAAGTCTCTCCGCGACTATCTCCGCATCTCAGAATTGGAGTCGAATATTAGGAGGGGTTGACTTTCCCGACCAAAAGTGAAGTGGCACGCATCCCAATCCTCATACTCAATTACGTCCCAAGATCACGAGTATCATCTTTCTGCTGGATCTAGCTTGTGTTGTATCATTTTCTTCTCCTCACGCTTGCAAACACTTTCACAATGCCTTCCAGCACCATCGCACCCAAGTCAAAGCCCCTCCCGCCAGGGGTCTACACCCCCGTTGTCACAATCTACAAAGCCGGCGATCCTCTGCAACCCGTAGACCATGACGCACTTTACAAGCAATGTCAAGCCTTAGTCCGCGCTGGTATGCACGGTCTCGTCTACCTCGGGACCAACGGCGAACTCGTTCTTCTGACAGCAGACGAGCGCAAGGCTATTCTCCAAACAGCGGTGCGCGCTGTCAAAGACCTTGGAAAGCCTGACTACCCTATTGTAGCTGGCATATCTGCAGAATCTACCCGCGAAGCCGTCCTCAACGCCAAAGATGCCGGCGCAGCGGGCGCAAGCTTTGGACTTTTGCTCCCGCCCAGCTACTGGGCTAAAGCCCTATCAAGTGACGCGATATTGGGATTTTACCGAGATGTTGCGGATAACTCTCCTATTCCGATTGTCATCTACAATTTCCCTGGCGTCACGTCTGGCGTGGATCTCGATTCCGACCAGATTACTGCTCTCGCGTCGCATCCCAACATCGTGGCTGTGAAGCTGACCTGCGGTAACGTCGGCAAGGTGACTCGCTTGACCAGCAAGTTTACACATGAGCAATTTGGTGTTTTTGGTGGCAGCAGCGACTACCTTCTTCCAACGCTACAGGCTGGAGGAAGTGGCTGCGTAACGGGCATGGGAAACATCTTTCCCGGTTCAACGTCAGCAGTGTACGACCTGTGGAAGGATGGGAAGGCTGATGAGTCCCTGAAACTGCAATATGATGTGGCAAACGCGGAATGGGCTTGTAAGAAGGGTATTGCCTTGACAAAATACGGTGCCTGGCACTTCTTTGGTCGCGATATCGGGCTCACCGACGAGTCAGCGTGGGAGATGAGGCGGCCGTATCTTCCACTCGGCGACGCAACTAAGATATGGGCTTTAGAAACACTTGGTGTACTCGGAGAGACGGAAAAGCAAAGGTCGTGGAGCAAATAGTCACTTTAGCAATAGATCATTGATCAGATTTCGTTAAGTTCAATGGATTACTACCTCAACTAAGATCGTTTAGCACGCGTTCGCTACAGTGATGAGCATCGAGTAACACATGTGTAATTTCGTTTTGCAAGTCAAGAAGTATTACTCCATCATGTTTTCTAGGTCGTCCTCTTAGAGGTGAATAAAATTGAGACGAATTCTCTGCAAGGCATGAAGTGCAGCCATTAAGCATTACCTAAGCATAACGATCGTGATTTTCAAAGCCACCCTTAGGCCTCAGCCATGTGAAGCTATGCTTGATCTATCCAACCCTCTATATCGCCTATTCTAACATATTTGATATACTGGCGATGGAATGTAAAAGCAACATGCACACTTTCCTTCTCAACAAAGATGCTAGGATAGCTCAACTCCCGATTTGTCTTCTCGATGGAATTGTTCGTCATGCAAAACCCATCGCCTTCCTCAAGGACCTTCTCCTTCCATGTCAATCCATCGTCGCTGGACACAGCAACCGTAAGCGTTTTACGCGGGGTTCCCCAAATTGCATTTTTGCCATTCACCGAAGCTTGATTCGGTCTCTTGTCATCCTCGGGTGTGATGTCGTCATAGAGGCCCTCTCGCTTGTCCATGCCAGGCTCGGCGGAGGAGCGGTTGAATACGATGGCCAGATTACCTGATGCTAGCCGTGCGGCGCAGATACCGCTGTTGGGATTCGGAAGAGATGTCGGCTTGGGAGGAGCCCAGTTCAGGCCATCTGGCGATGTTGAACGGTAGACATTGTCTGCCCACCGACTGCGAAAGAATGCTACATATTCAGAACCTTCGCTCTTTGGTGCGATGATATTCATATGGACAGAGCCAATGCTATTAGGCACCACATTCTCTATCCATGTTTGACCCTCGTCTTTGGAGTAGAACACCGCAGAGATATCATTGTTCCCAATCCACCTCTGACCTGGTGTTGATCGGCAGTGGAAAACTGGAAGGACCCAAGTATCATCCCCGAGAACGACGAGAGGTTGGCGCACAAAAGCCCCGGTGACACCTTTCAGTGGATAGCGGGGCGATGACCACGTCTTGCCATTGTTGCTTGAAGTGCGGGCCATTACGATGGCCCCATCTTGGTTGCCCGCATCTTGAGAGGTGTGGAAGAGCCAGATATCTCCCGTCTTGGGTGCTCGGAAAAGCACCGGGTTCTGGCAGCTGCGGTTGGTGTCAGAAGATATCTTTTGAGGCGTCGACCAGGAAGTTGTTCCAGGCTCTTGACGAGATAGCCAGATGCTAATATCCGGGAGGCCTTCCTGGGAGCCTCCGAACCAGACGCATAGTAGGGTCTTGTCGGGCAGTTGAAGTAGGTTGGATGCATGGGACTGAACCGTTGCCGCGGGGATGGCAGCAGTCTGCAGGTTTGGGGACATGGTAGGCCTAGTTGTGTGGGTGGTTTGGCAAGAGTTTGGGAGATCGAAGTTTGTCTAACCCGATAATAGAAAGCTGGCCGAAGAGTGTCCGAATGGGTAGGTTGTCTAGTATCGATCCAGCCATCAAGTCTGGTATTATCACCCTGTAGAGCCAGGTTCAGTCTACATGTATTTCTTGAGTCGAACCACGTTTGCCAATTACGCCTCGACATGCACCTCTCCTCCCACCCTTCCCCGCAATCAACCACCTTCGCCCGCCGGCGAGATTTCCGGCCCCGCAATTCATAACCTCCTGGGAAGCCCCCGTCCATGCTCCGTGTCGCAGGCGTTTGGAGAGTTCTGGGCTAGGACAAGTCTCCGAATTTCCTATTCCGTCTAAGGGTAACAAAACAACGCTCACAGCCACGAGAATGGCAGCTTAGGGTATTGTCGGTCTTCCTGAAAACGGGGCAAGCCAGAGATTGAACGGGCGACGATCAATCACTGTCAAATAGCAACACGATGCAACCCGATGACACCTCATGACTACGGCCTTCTCCCCGATGATTGTATTGGTTGATTTCCCAATAGACACCCCATGCATACATGGCTCGAGAAATGCTGTGGATTACGCGGGGTAATTCGGCTCTTGGAACTGCTCCCCATGGGGGAAGGTGAGTGCTAGGGCCAGTTCGTGAATTGGCACCAGGGTCGAGTCAGTTTATCCGGGTATATGATACAGTTGCAACCTTCTTGTGAACTTGATCTCGGACCAACAGAGAGCCAACAGTACAGAATTTCTGGCCCGCCGAACTCAGCTTCTTGCAACACGATACCTAACCCCTATCGACCTTCGCCGGAATACTCTCTTCGACAATGGGTGGTGGAACATCACTATGGGCTTCCCCCGACTGGAAGAAGGATCCAAAGGAGATCTTCAACTCTAAGCTTCTGCTGTTAGGCATCACAATAGCCTTTGCGGGATGTTCATACGGTTTTGACCAGGGAAATATCGGGGGCATCATGACGTTTCCATCCTTCCGGCGTGCCTTTGGGTTTGACACAATAAGCGAAGAAGAAGCAAACACGAGAGGTAAAGCCATTCCCTCTTATCGCTATGTTTGTTGTTTGTTGGAACCACTGCTGACGGAAACACAATGCAGAGGGCAATATAGCAGCTATGCGTAAGTAAACCTCAACCGATATTTGATTTTACACATCAGTTCTAACAGGGCATCTTCAGTCGCTGCCGGCGGCACTGCCGGTGCTTTGCTAGCAGCGCCTCTGTCCGATTTCCTTGGGAGGAAGAAGGCCGTCACATCAATGTCCGCTCTATTTCTTATAGGCTGCTCCATGCAAGAAGTTCCCAACCTGGATGTTCTTTACGCTGGAAGACTCCTAGCTGGTGTGGCCATCGGTGCGACCTCAATGGTAAGTACTCTTGTTGCAACCCTATCGAGACTTCGGCGATGAGGCTAATGCACAACTTTCAGTTGGCTCCCCAGTACCTGGCAGAAAACTCCCCAAAGTCGATCAGAGGCTCCCTTACTACCTCGTACAACTTGATGATCATCTTGGCACTTGCGATTGCCTTTTGGGTTAACTACGCAGTCAGCCTTTGGCCCAATCAGAACCCCGACAACAACAAGGCTTGGCAGCTGGCTCTTGGCATTCAGTTGATTCCAGGCTTCTTCCTCTTCACTCTTATCTGGTGTAAGTCCTCACGATAATACAGCACCTCATAAGTTGGACCAGAAAGACTAACGTGACCATTCACATAGTCGTCGTCGAGACCCCACGAGCCCTCATTTCGAAAGGGAAACAAGAGCGCGGACTTAAGAACCTGTGCAAGCTGAGAGGCCTGCCTGCCGAACATCCTTACGTACACCAAGAGTATCTGGAAATTCTGGCCCAGTCGGAAGCCGAGCAAAGCCAAGCCAAGGGTATGATCAAAAACAGGGCATGAAAACACGCATGCGGAAGAACAAAGTTGACCCCTACTCTTAGGTCATGGCTATGTGGTGGTTGTAAAAGACATCGTCACCAACGCCAGCAATCGGCGGCGACTTTTCCTTGCCGTCATGCTGTTCCTGTTCCACAAGCTTACAGGTAGGACCACTCCGCTGCCCTTCAGGTCATAGTATGCGGGTAAGCTGACAGTGTGCAACTTTAGGCACTGACTCCCTGAACTACTTTGCGCCCCAAATCTTCGCCATGATTGGAGTACCTAAAGGCTCGAGTTCTCTTTTGACGACTGGCGTCTACGGTGTTGTCAAGCTTGCAACGACCATAATCTACGTTACTGTCATTGTTGACCGTGTTGGACGTCGTCTTCCACTCATGATCGGAGCAACCATTCAGGCTACAGCTATGCTCTACATTGGTCTCTTTCTCCGCTTTTCCGATGTTCAGCCTGGAAGTGGAACGACTCCGGGTGGCATTGTGGGCATTATCATGTGAGTTTCTTGAAGCGCACAGTCTCAAAGAGATTTTCGTCTAATACGAGACCAGGATTTATCTCTACGCCTTCGGCTGGTCTTTCGGGCACTCAGTAGCACCATACGTCGTAGCCGCTGAGATCTTCCCCGCGCGAGTTCGATCGGTCTGCATGTCCTGCTGCCTCTTCACAAACTGGATCGTCAACTACGGTATCACCTCGGCCACACCACACATGCTGAGTACCATGAAGTACGGCACGTTCTTGTTCTTTTCCATCATGACGTACATTGGTGCCATTTTCGTCTTTTTCTGTCTGCCCGAGCTCAAGGGCCGAAGCATCGAATCCATGGATGATCTCTTTGCTCACTCACTATGGACCATGTTCAAGCGCGCCTATCCTACCGAGGACGAGAAGGTTAGGCACGATGTTCAGGAGCAATTGCAGCACGAGGAAGACAAAGTTGTTTCGCATGTAACAATGGTTGAGGATAATGGTAGGCGTGCTTAAGAGACTGGCGACTGCTGAATGATTGGGAATTTGGAGCGTAATTTGATATACAGACAGAAAACTATGTTGCTCTAAGAATTATATAAGTCATGTTTGATACGAAGAAAATCTAAAAGCAGGATTCTCTCTAATGCCTCATGGGCTACGAGAAGCCTTCCACAGCTCAACCAAGTAGTCGAACCTCAGGCAGTGACAGTTGGAAGACGCCTGATCTCGCATATTTTTCAGCCTCAACAAATCCTGATTCTCTCTAGAAATAACATTCGGCGATGACGTACATGTATGGTCCTTCGGCAGACTCCTTTGCAGGAGTCACATCCACTGCAACACACTAAGATAAGAATGCAGCTTCCCTTTGTTTGAGTGTGACATCGCAACGATGACCAACCGGACTAATCAGCCAAACATTGCGCATGTCCATCACATCATCGGTCATGTCGTCAGCTAGTCTTATGCCTCGACATTCGCGGAAAAAAACTGCTACAGCGAGTCGTAACTCCATGCGAGCTAAATGTGCTCCAATACAAACCCGAGTCCCAGCTCCCCAAGGAGACAATGATCGCCTCTGCTCCTTCGTCAATCTCTCAGTCAGAAACCGAGTCTCGTCGAATCTACGCAGGTATCAGCTCGATCTGCCAATTTGATGGGTTCACGGCACAGTCCACGCATCTTACCTCTCAGGGTCTGGAAAAACATTGGGGTTACGGTGGAGCGTGTACGCCTGCGTCTCTACAACTATGCCACCAGGAATGAAGAATCCACCCAGCGTCACACCACCCGGAGGTACAGACCTAGGTAGGTTACCTGCAACCGCCCCGTACACGCGCAACGTCTCTTCGATGACGGCGTTGAGAAGCGGCAGTTTCTCGAGAACGGCGTCGTTGATCTCGTCGTCTCTGAGGTTGTGAAGCTCCGCTTCGAGATTTTGACGGAGGGTCGGTCTCTTCAGCACCACCCAGACTAGATAGGTCAGTGTAATAGAGGTGGTATCGGACCCTGCCACGATGAGGTTCGTCGCCTCTGACTGCAACTTTTCCGGAGTCAGGCTGTACTCGATCTTTTCATCACACGCAGCTTGCATGTTACTAAATAGGTTTGCAGAATGCCCATTGCCTTTTTGGCTGCTTGTGGCCATACTAGCATATTCGCCGATGATGTGCCCCGCGTTTGCAAGCTCCTTGGGGTACTGAAAGGGTAGATATTGGGCGAGATAGAATAGCCAGGGCACTTCGCGTCGAAACATTGAAGCTGTGAAGAGCATTTCCAACGCGTGGATGTAGGAGCTTTTCTAATAGAATTCAGCGTTACGTCCAACCAAGATTTGTTAAACTGACCTCGCCGAGCTCTAGTGTCTTGAAAGACTCGCCAAAAGACAAGTGGGCAATAACGTCCGTCGTCATGAGCATCCACCACTTGAGAATATCGGCTTTACCCTTCAAAGCATCCGCCCGAATACGGTCTACGGCTAATTCAACCTTCTCTCGAACAACCAACTCCCAATTCTCGCGCAGCGAGAGGCTCGCAAAGGCTCTAGAAAACAGCCTGCGCCTCACAGCATGCTCCTTGGGATCGGTGATGAAGACAATGCCTGGCTCACGCCCATCTATGACCTCAGAGTACCATGGCCCTTTGGTGAAGCCAGAGCCAATCTTGTGAATTGCAGTAAACGACTCGGGGTCCGCGATTGCGACTTCATTGGGCGAGATTCGCACAAATGATCCGTACTTCTGGTGGAGAGAGTGTACGTAGTGCATTCGACGACCTACGAGCACATGGAATTTTAGAGTATAGTTGACGAAGCAAGTATGCCACGGGCCAGGTACATGACTGATCGAGCAGGTCAGTCCTCTGAGAAGAACCTGTTCGAAAAACCATTAGCATATTTTGAGTCGAGAGAACCGCCCCACCCAAACAGATGAGGTAGCTTCCTACTGACATAGGCGGAGAAGACCATGCAAAGGGCGGCGATGATGTAGCCAGCATTTGCAGAATTGAGAAGCGACATGGCGGATCTTATAGATATGGTGCTATGATCAATCTTGCCGGTATGAATATAGGCTTCTAAATCAATGTACAGAAATCAATTGCCAAATGCACTTGTCAATCGGAGGAACGGGTTAGAGAAGCAGGTTATGGGGATGGGCTAGAATCAATCATTGAATTGTAGTCAGTGAGACGGCTTCTCTGCGGCGTGTCTCCTTGTTGATGATTACTCAACACCTAATACCGAGGATACACAATGGACTATGACAGCTCATATGTGAGCGAAGCAGGCGGATGAGGATAGATTTCTGGTCAGAAACGCCGCCGGACGCTCTTTGTCAGACGCCCGACTTGATTTCGTGACAGGTCTTCTACGTCATCTCGGCCAGAACACCAAAGGCCTCCACATGTAGCGTTGCCCAGTTCTGAGGGCGTTGAGTCTGACTTTTTCTACCATATTTTGTTTCACTGATTATTAAACCATATGTTGTCTGATTTCTCAACTGCGTGCTCGACGACTGATACTATCCGATATTTAGAATCAAAGGGCAAATGGAAATGATACTATACGCTTTCTCTACCTAAACCCCTCTGCTCCGCATTTCTATCGAGATATGTGCAGCAAGTAGGTAGTAGCTCGAATCGAATGGGATAGGGGTCTTATATTTGATAACGATTAGAATTTGATACGATTAGTAATTAAATTCCTCGGAGTTGCTTATGATCAGACTTTGAGAGCATATTGCTCCTCAGCCAGATTGACGCACTAGCTATGGATTTCTCCTGTGCGTGCTATTGCTACTGAAAATATGCTGGTCACATCGAAAGCTCTGATTGTTGATCTGCAAGGGTCTTGAATCAGCGAATAGAGAATAAGTGAAAAGGCCCACATCCACACAACTCATCTACTCACCAAGACTATCATTCTTCGGTATTATAACTTATCCATTGGTGAAAGCAGACAAATAGTGCTACGGATCAATATACGTGTCAGGCCTCGCCGGTCAGGCCTCGTCGGTTAAGGGATAGCTCAGGGGCATGAGGAGGGGGACCAAGCAACAAAGGAGCAGCTCAGGCATATATAGAGCGCTGGTAGTACACCTCGAGGGAAGGGCAGATTTCAGTAATTCATCTTTTAGACCCTAACAGCAGTTGGCCTCTGTGAGCTTCTTCCCTGTGTCACACACCTATTGACAATACGATGGGTAGAAAAGACGACTATTTAGCACCATTCGCCTCGTATAGCTGGGCAGACCCCTCTCTGATTCAGGCGGTATAAGATTAAGCGAAGGAGGAAGAGATAAGAAGTAAGAATGAGAAGTCTCAATTCAAATTTCACAATAATCCAAAGCATCGCTCGAAAGATTTCTGGACGCTTATTCACATTCCATGCTCGAGCACATGGGGCTTCATACCTCTTTGAGGGCAAAGTTTACCAGACACAAACTAATTTGAAAACTAATAAAAGATAGCATTGGTGTTAGTAGGGTTAGTACATCGTGCGATCAGTTCGAATCGACATCGGCGCGGACCAGCTGACGGAACTCGTCGGAGGCAAGCAAGAAATCATACACCAATCTTGCCTCTCATACAAAACCGATAGGGGCAAATCACCCCCATGTTCGGTCATTTTACCATACTAGCATCACATTCATCTCTGGGAGCCGGTTGCGAAAAGATTACGAGTTTTCAGATTCAGCATTCACGCAACGTGTTAAAACAGTAAATATGTTGTTATTCAATTCCTATGCGCCCCCTGAGCCTTAAAAATGTAATGAAATACATTCGATAGGCTTTCAACTGAGCGTTGAGACCGATGTTACAACAATCGACTGTTGCCAAATCCTTTTTGCCCTACTGGAAAGCCTTCTTCTCTATGTGATAGCTAAGTGACTAATATTTCAGAAGTTACTCGGGTGGCATGGGCCTGTCCAGTTGAAGGTGGACGTTCTAGCTGCCCCACGCCTCAAGATCTCAGCAGCTGCCGAGGGACTTGAGCTGCCATCCGGAAGGGGGGTTCTGGGTGCTGATAAAGCTCAGCCCGCAGCTGGTCGTCGCATCGATGAACCAGTTACGACCGTTGACGGTGATGTGGCCCTGTCCGCCCTTTGGTATGCAGGCAGTGCCAAGCTGAAAGCTGTTGCCATCGAGAAGCTGGACTTTGCAGTTGGCGAGGACAACCGCAGCCTGGGCGGCAATGGCGAGGATAGTATAGGTCTTCATATCTGACAATCTCATCAGCTGTTTGCTCGCGTATTGGTGTAGTGTTGCTCACTGATAGGTAATTGGTCGCTAATGAAGACGGTTCAAGTTGGTATGAGGAAGCTTCTTAGAAAACTGATTCAATTGTGCGGTGTGCTGGAGGAAACAAACAGTCTATGGACTCAAAGGAATTCTCTGTATTTATACATCTCAGTAGCGGTTAGGAAGGTCGGAGTTCATTGTCGGATTTGTGAGAGACAGCGGAGCGAGACCGACTCAACCAAGCTCACAGAGTGTGTGGTCTATGACATGTCTGATTGTCATAGTAACTCATTTTACGGAGTAAACGTATTAGGAAGAATGTCAGAAATCTCACGGTCAGCAACAGGCGTACGATGTGAGCCGTCACTTGGTTGTATAGTATTGACTAAACCATTCTTCGTGATGGGAAGAAAGTGTGGGTCCTGCGTGACGGCCCACACCGTACGACTGGTATTGACTGGGAGAATTATAACATTCGTCCCAATACGTTAACTCCGTAAAATGACTAGTCATAAGACAAACATGATGAGTAGTCGGATAAGTCCTTAGAGAGCCTAAGTTCCTACACTCTCTTATACAGTAGGTAATTGAGTTCATTTTAAAGTTGTCAGGTGTTTGGGGATGTCGTGCGACCTCTCTCAGGTTCGTATGATAGCTTCTCTGATGCCGGACCCGACGGATGAGAGACTTGAATACACGTCAAGGGAATTGGTAATCCAGAGCGGATGAATTACATACTTTCCCGATGCTCTAGGCTTACCTATGGACCCTGCTGCGACGTGCCATTTCACGTAACTTACCCGGCTCCGACCTCTCGTGGAGCAAAAGCCCTGTAGCCGTATGGAATCGATAACAAACCCAAAATAGCCAATCTGATACAGAGTGCAATTGCCCAAATATTCCACCGTTCAAATGTCATTATCAAATAGCGCCGTTCAGTGATGTGCTAAATGAGGTAGACACTTAGCCCAGGCTTAGGTTGGCCAGTGGCTGAAGAATTGGCTAGGCTATCCGCAACTAACGTTTGTCATCCGCAAAAGTCTGGAATGGGACGGGCCGGTCAATATGTCAACTCGTTCCACCAGCATGTACAAAAGGCTAAGGGAAGCCTTGGTCTCACTTTCAGCTGTGTCTCAGCAAACCACATGACATAAAACAACTAGTCGGCTCGCGTCACTTAGAATTACTCACATCTGTATCTTCCAATGCCTGCCACTGAGCTTACGGACATAGCAGCAGTCAAAGATGCCATCGGTCCTATCGATCCTAACAAACCGGTCTACATGCTCAATATTTTGAAGTTTCGCCCCGTCGCTATTTACGACCCTACCGCTCCAGCCGATTTCCACTCTCTCCCCGCTTGTAGCGGTCAAGATGCGTGGCAACAACGTTACGTGCCTGCTTTTTTCGCCCTTCCTACAATGAATGGCACTCGTGTCCCATTCTCCGGCAAAATGGTTGGGAAGGTGCTAGGGCTGGAGGACGATGATTGGGATGAAGTGGCTCTTGTGCAATACGAGAATATTGGAGTTTTCAGAGACACAATTGCGAGCGAAGAGTACAAGCGACTTGTAGTGCCGCACCGAGTTGCCGCTCTGGCTGATGCGCGATTGTTTGCGTTTGAGTTTTCAGGTTCTCTTTGAGTAGAGCTGACTCTTTGGCTAATTACGGAAAGTATTCCGCAATTCTTTCCAGCGACGTATTCCGACCTGTCAGCCCTTGGCTCGAGTCATGCACCTCGGCAGTTGGCTGATAGCTAAAGATAGCGAAGGGGGGGAAGCACCCTGGAGTTTTGATAAGATATAATCAGAAAAGAGATAAGTCTGTCAAGTTGAATCAGCGAATAAGAATTCCTACAAAGACTCAAGATGTTGAACTCCGTTGTGAGGGGCCGATGGCGCTCGTCCATGGCGGGGAAAGACATTAATACCGACAAATTTGGTGCTAGGACTGATCAGGCAAGTATCCCAGTAATAACTGGATGGAAACTTCCGTTGCTTCTCCCCGTAATCCACTCACCGTGCTTGGGCCGCTGAAAGAGTCCCTCTTTTTCCTCCTTGACATCAAGATTCCCCCCACGTGTTTGTTGTCTGTTACGCCCAACACGCCGGAGTTGGATCATAGCAACGTTGCTTGCCTGTCATAATGGAAGGTCAACCCGAGGCCGTCATGTCTTTACAATTTCAATCAGAAACGCGGCGACGAAAGGGCTCCAAACACGACAAAACGGGATGTCTGACCTGCCGATATCGGTAAGCCCGCCTCACCGATAACCCTATCGCGGGACCCCTCATTCTGATAAGTATTCTTGGAACATTAGGAGGAAGAAGTGCGTCGAGAATACGTTTCCAATCTGTGGAACATGCTCCAGGTTGAATCTGAAATGCGTGCGATCGACGGCTCGCGATGTAGTCCCGACTACCTGGGTCGAACAGAAGAAGAGCACACTGCAGGCAACTCAGGCGCTACGACCGTCGACGAGAGATAACTCGCATCAACCATTATCGTCATGTTTTCCGTTGCTTGCTTCACCTCCGGGCGTGGACCAGGGCGAACCGCCTCAGAAGCGACAAGTAATGCGATACTACATTACAGTGCTGAGCCATTTTTTGACTGCAAGCGAGCAGTTCAACTCGTTCCTATCTGGTTCGTTACTCTCTGAATGAATTGGATGCACTTCCATATGTCTCGATGGGCTGCAACTGACACTTAGAATCTTTCAGAGTTCCTACCAATGGCTATGGAATCGAGTGTGCTTTACGATGCACTGGTCGCTTTTGCTTCTGGTCACTTGTCACTCACGAATGAGTCATATCGGGTCTCTGCCTTAGAAGCTCACTCGACAGCAATCACCAACCTCGCCACAGCCCTCGCTAAACCACAACATGAAATCACATGGTACGAAATCAAAGCAGCAACATGCTTGGCCTTTGTCATAGGTGAGGTATGCGTAGGAGATAACGACGGGTGGTGTGCACACCTCAACGGTGCCAAGCTCATCATCGAGTCCGCCGTGGTCAATCCAAGCTCAGGGACGACCTTGCGAGGACCTGAAGTCTTCAAACGGAGCTCCGAGGGTCAGTGGATTCTTCGAAACTTTGCGTATCACGACATGATTGGGAGTGTGACCATGCGGAGGAGGCCGCTGCTAGACTGCAGTTATCTGGATGGCATCACAGACGTTGTCGACACCTACCTAGGCGTCGCCACAGATCTTTTACGCCATGTAGCTACTTTGAGTAGCATTGATGAAGAGACCAGACTCGATGTTGCTCTGGGGGCTGAGGAGATAACCAGAAGAAAGAAGTTGTTCCATGCCACCTGCGAAGGAGTCGAGCAAGAGCTGCAAGACTGGCGATGTAGGCCAGATGCCGCTCCAGAACTTGCTGCTCTGGCGCATGCATTTAGGAGCGCTGTTCTTATTGTGCTATTCCGACTGATACGGAGTCGGCTGAGTTCGGAGGAAGAGACCACTCAAGGAGCAAGCTCTGAAGCCATGACAGAGGAGATGCTACCGACAAAGATGCGGACGCAGGTGTCTAACATCCTGAGGCACGTCTCAGATATTCCGGTCGGGTCACATACTGAGTCGGCAATACTCTTTCCTCTCTTCCTTGCTGGCGGCGAGGCGACTGAGGATGAACACATGGATGCTGTTCGTGTTCGGTTGCAGATGACGTTGCAGAAACGACGATTCCAGAATATTTCTCGTTCTTTGATAATACTAGAAGATTTATGGCAAAGGCGGCAAAACTCAGGTTTGACAGATGAAGCAGACTGGACTGACATCTTGGACGAGACTGGGGAACATCTTCTCTTGACTTAGGGCCGGTTATCGGTACAATTTACAAGAGTCTACTAAAATGATGGAAATGCACAAACAAAGGCTAGCTACATTGAGCGTCAGGTCGGCGACCACGTATAACCCATGCTCAGCAAGCGATGCTGAACCAATAATCTTTAAGCTCACGACTAGATCTACAGAGACCAGCAAGATCGGAACCGGTCCTTACCCCGCCTTAGGCCGATGCAAAGCCTCCACACACGCCAGATACGCCATGCAGATACGCCATGAGCCCATATGATACCGTATCAGATAGCCAGCCTCCAATATTGACCAGCTTTCAGATCAGAGCAACGATAACGATACAAGGTAACATGCTTAGGACTAGGTATATCTCTAGCCCACCTCCCGCATATGGTCACAAAGCTTATTAGCTCTAGTGTCTCTGCTCTCAACCTCGCGAACCCTCGAGTATTACGTCTATCTTGTTCTGTCCACTTGACCGGCTGTGATAAATACTTTTGAGATGGCTACTGCGTCGCAAAAGATGGCAAAGACAGCCGCCAAGCTTGGTCCGGAATTCATATCAACACTCAACCCCGTCGTGAACGGGATTCCATCTGCCAGTGCAGTCCTCCACCGCTCACTGAAAAGCGCGCCGCCACATGTAGTATCAGCAAAGGGCAAACATCTAACATTTTCTGATGGCCGAACCATCTTGGATTCAACATGTGGCGCAGCAGTAGCATGCATAGGATCGAACAATGAACGAGTCAAGAAAGCCATGGTTGAGCAAATTGACAAGTTTGCCTATTGCAACTCCATGTTCTTTGGCCACGAGATTGGGGAGAAGCTTGCTGATGAACTCATTGACGGCACAGGCGGTGCCATGTCGAAATCGTACATTATGTGCTCAGGTATACTTTCAGCCCCTTTGAGAGGAAATGATAACAAACACTTGATACTAACGCTCCTAGGCTCTGAGGCTATGGAATCCGCAATGAAGATGGCACGACAGTATTTTATGGAATTGTCTCCTCGACAGCCAAAGCGGATCAATTTCATTGCCAGAGAAGGATCATACCATGGTACAACTCTTGGTTCGCTGTCAATGAGCGGGCATGTCGCGCGGCGGAGTCTCTTCCTCGATATGCTGCTTCCGAACATATACAGAGTGTCAGCTTGCAACCCGTACCGCGGTATGAGCGAGGGTCAGACCGAGCAGGAATACGTCAGTCAACTGGCCGATGAGCTGGACCAGAAATTCCAAGAGCTTGGCCCCGATTCGGTATGCGCATTTGTCGCAGAGCCTATTGTTGGTGCAGTAAGTAGTCATCCAATGTCTCAACTATTATAACCTCGTCTTAATATTCATTCCTACAGACTCTGGGTTGTATTCCAGCTCTGCCTGGATATTTCAGGGCTATTAGAAAGGTCTGCGACAAGTATGGCGCCCTACTTATCTTGGATGGTAAGAACACTGAGCCTAAGGCGCACGTCTAAATCATTTTGTACCAAATAAACACTGACATACGTGAAGAGGTCATGTCCGGCATGGGTCGCTGCGGCTCTCTACATGCGTGGCAACAAGAGGGAGTTATCCCTGATATCCAGACACTTGCTAAAGGTCTCGGCGGCGGTTACGCGCCCATGGCTGGTATGCTCATCAATCACCGTGTGGCTGATGCTCTCAAGAACGGAAGCGGGTAAGATCTCTACAGACTTCTCCTACATATTATTCGAGGTTGACTAATCACGATACAGCTCATTTTCACACGGACATACTTATCAGGGCCATCCTGTTGGATGCGCTGCTGCCCTCGAAGTCCAACGAATCATCCGGGAAGAGGATCTCGTCGCAAATGTTCGAAAACAGGGCGCTCTGCTTGAGAAGCGGTTGCGGTACTACCTAGATGACAACCCTCATGTTGGCAACATCCGAGGCAAAGGCCTCTTTTGGGGGGTAAGTCTATCAGAGCCTATTCACTCTTTACTTTCTCGAGGCGCCAACTCACAAGCCTTTCTCCTGTAGATCGAGTTTGTCATAGACAGACTTACCAAAGAACCTTTCCCGAGATTTGAGGATATCGCGAACAAAACTTATCTTATTGGATTCAACGACTTCGGCATCAGCCTGTATCCAGGTATGGGAACGAAAGATGGTGTTCTGGGCGATCATGTCCTTCTTGCGCCTGCATACACTAGTACAAGCGAAGAGATTGAGGAAATCGCGTCCAGAACTCGAGATACTATCTTTCAGGTATTCGAGAGTATTGGGACTGCCACTCGCGGTTGAATATTTATAAGCGCACTGTATGTAATCTTGGTGCTAGATGGTATTCAAGGTTCCCCTTCAAAAATGCCGAACTCAACCAAACGACATTATCAGAAGCCCGCAACTAAGTACGCTTTCACAAAAGTCCCTCGGGACGATAGGACATGACGATCGCCACCCTAGTCGACATAGTAGATTCAAGCTAGCGGCAGCCTAGCCGTCACACCCTGATGCGTCAGCAATCTTCTGCACACTTTTCACGCCTTCCATTACTTATTGAGCTTAGAGATCTCTGACTTGTTTGCCCGTGTTCCCGAAGCAAATAATTTCATTGCAAATTTGCTCAAAACTCACAAGTAGCCACCATGAGCATATATCCGAGGTGTGCTGGCGATGTAACCTTCAACACACTATCATCTAACGCGTTTTCCGAATGGCCGGAGTCCATCGCTGGCATAATATGCAAGACCCCGCCCGTCGGCCGCAATAGCGCCCCGCACTTTGCGGAATGCTGCTCCGGCACGGTCTACAACATCACGAGCCCGACGTCGCCCAACGACCAAGTGTACCCAGTCTCGTGCGCTACTTTTTGTCAAGTCAGTCCGGAGATGAATGCCGACAATCCGAATAACCCCTACGGGTTCAGCAACCACTTCATGTGTCTCACCGACGGCACAAGGGAGCCCTCATCCTGGGAGGTTGTCTGCGCCACGGTGACACCGCCGGGCGTGGCATGGCCTACGAGTTTTCCCAATACTCCTGTCCTCTCGTGGAAGACTAGGTCTTGGACGACCGATATTTACTCGCGCATCAGCGAGGTTACGTCTGTCGTTGAAAACCCGACTACATCGCCAACCGCGACGGTAACGACAGATATCACAACATCTTCGTCGTCTCAAAAAGCTTCTATCTCAACGTCTGACTCAAGCGCGGCATCCACATCGCTTGCTACAGCTTCATCAACACAAACGAGCGCAGCTGTGGCGACGCCAACGGGTAGCGGTGCCGCCGAAGGCAAGAGAGTGCATGCGAGAGACCTCACATTGAGCATCCTGCTTCTCATAAGCGCCCTTTGTCGCGCTTAAACCTGTCGTCTCCAGCGATTGCGTCAAGAAGGCTGCTGTCAAAGGCTCTGAGCATGCATCCATCCGTCGCGACGGGCATTTCGTTGCCTATGTTGGATCTTTCTTGCGGGGATGACTCGCATTTCAAGCTTAACGTCAAGGACTAAGGCTGGGGTGGCCAGTTAAAATGTACTAAGTAGTATGTAGTGGTCTGTGATGAATATGAGCGTATCTTTGGATAACCTTGTCCAGACGCCTAGGTGAAACCCGATGACACCCGGGATAGATTAAGTTGCCAAGCCTTGAGACAAGCATTCTTCTCGGTACAAAGACCATCTATCCCAAACCAATGCTCAGATGATCAACTCATTGCTTCATCGCTTTCTAACTCAGGTCCAGTTTGAGCTCATCCTCATGATCATGAGTGAAAGATAGAAAGTGATATAGATAGGTTTCATGTACAATACTCCGAAGACATAACGTCATCTGGGTCTTCCAAACGAAGTCATTCCTCCTTGTAACTTCTCATAGACACACCCGACGGATTTCGCTTATCACATTGGCAGTACAACTCGACGTGAGCCAATCAAAATCCAAGAGTCTGTCCGGCCTCCTTGGTCACAGCAGCCTTCACATTGGCAGATCCAAGAAGAGAGTACGAGTAAGGAGGGCTGTTAGCATTCAATGTGCCAACTGATGCAGTGTTTTGGCTCTCACCACCAAGCACAACATCAATGGCAACAGCATACCTGCGGAGTAGGATTATCAGTCACGGAACACTGCCAGCTTAAGGTAGTCCAAATTGGTTGAAGGGACTTACCCAATCTCCTTGCTAGACTCGCTAAAGATGGCCTTCTTTCCGACATTCTCAAAGACGGAGCTCTGAATGAGAGCTTGTGCACTCATGCGAGTGTTGATGCCCGTATCCATGGTGTTGTAGAACTGGTTGTAAATATGGGCAGTTCCGAAACGCAACAGGGGGCCACGACTGCGGACGTTGTAGAAGTGATTATTCGCATAAGTGACATGGAGGGTTCCCGTATCCTCGGCGGCATTACTGTCAGAGTGGCCAACAAGAGAGCCCTTGGAGTGGTCATGAAAGTACGTGTGGGAGATGGTGACCCAGTCAGCGGCGTGAGAGAGATCAGTCAACCCATCGTAGAAGTCCTTGTCGCCGTCGCGGGTGGCAGAAAGATCGCAGTGGTCTACCCATACGTTCTTGGATAGCTGGATGGTAATGGCGTCACCGTAGTCTGCTTCGACCTTGCTGATCTTCATGTTGCGGACGATGACGTTCTTTTGTCCAAGAATAGTGAGGCCGATACCCTCTAGAGCTATAATTGAAAAATATGAGCTTTGAGGGGGTTCGAGTGAGTAGTGTCACTTACAGCTGCCCGTCTTTCCCACGATAGTTTTATCAGAGCCGACTTGGACTTTTGCCGCGCCGACAATGTTGCCTGAAACAATGACAATACCTGGACCGGATGCAATAGCTGCGGCGGATAGTTGAGCAAGGTTCGTCACTGTAGTAGTGGTTCCTCCGGAGCCACCCTTGGTTCTAAATTTTAAGGATCAGTTCAAATGTTCTGGACAACTTTGATATCGTCTATCCTTACCCGCCATTCTGAGTGGCATAACCAATGTTTGCTGCATCCGTGATAGCAGCCCTCTTGTTCAGGAGACGACCTTCAGGGTTCGTAGGAGTGGGCGAAGCCGATGCAGCGATAGCCAGAAAGGCCCAAGACGCAAAGCTATTCAGCTTCATCGCGACAAGGATCAAGAGATAAAAGGTATGTACAAGATGAGCAAGTTTCACGACTTCAGTGGAGCGATGGAAATTAAGCTTAAGTTTTGCGACATGCGGACGATGATCGCTTATATGCCGATCGCTGGTAAATTCAGCGGCATGATGATATGACTTCTTAACTCCACAGCTCTCCTTATTTCTCCTCAACTCTGGAATTAATATGAAGCCAAGACATACATCAGGGGAGAACGTCGAAGCCGACATATCGACTTCTTGGCATCGTGGCAATGTGTTCCTCCAATGCTATGCATCCATAGGCTCTCAACATGCCCTTCTAGGTGGACTGGCCGGGGATTTTCAATTTCCCCGAATGAGACGACATCTTCGCCTTTCTCAACCATGCTTCACGGAACCTAACCATGACTGTTCAGTTGAAACGGAAACGTACCAAAAGCGTAACGGACGCAACGTGAAGTCTTTCCCCATTGGACCAGTAATCTATTCGGTTTTTTGTCCATGGTGGTGTCGTTCCCTATTCACACGTCCAAAGGGATCGTTCTGCGGAGAAAATTGTTGTTGGAGGAAAATTGCCAGGGTCGGCCGCCCACTGGCCCAAGGCGAATGGCGGGATAACGCGTGGGGGTCCGAAGAAAACGTGATCATCTTCGGGGTGCTACACCACGTTGTCTCCACTCTGCCCCGGATTGATCGGGGCCAGCACGGCACACCGCATCGGTGGATCATAGTAGCGCCTATCTAGCGTTCGGTTCATCGTTCTTAATTTTCGGATTAAGACGATCAACGTATCTAGCGCCGACTATGAACCGAAAAGCAGACGAACGAATTCGGTAAGCATGTCGGCGACCAATAGAAGTTGAGCTGTCACCAGAATGGACTGCGATTCGGTTATGGGTGAGACATCCGGCAAAACTCCAACATGTGAGCCATTGGCTGGCATGATGGGCTTCTTTTGAACATGCAGAAGTCTTCACCTGGTGGTGTCTTAGAGCAAACGCAGTCCTCAACCTCCATTTCGGGCGAGGACACTTACACGGCCGAGACTCGCGGTGGTGGGCGTCTCGTACGAGAGGGGGAAAGTACGCAAAAATGAAGACTCACGGCCGAATCTTGGTTCTTGGAAACTTTTTCTGCGTCGCATGTGGCAGCCTGCATGAAGCAGAAATCCAAAAGCCAAAATGGTTCGTCCTGCGTTCTGAAAACCATGGGCAATGCGTGTTCCCCATGTGAAGTCCCTCCCTGGTGTCGCTACCCTTGAGAATGGGCGGGAAGCAGATGCACTGAGCACTCACGTTCATGCTTAGTTCCAATCACAGTGGTCGGGAGTAGGATCTGTAGCCCATTTTAGATTGTCAAGGAAGCGCTGGTCTCAGTAATGAGGGCTACGACCCCTATCTCAATGCTCGTTCAAAGTTAACCGATTGGCTATTGAGGATTCACAGCATAGGGCTGGAGCAAAACGCCAAATCCTGTAAGAAAAGGAAAACAAAAACAAGCATTCAGCGGCAACAGGGCGGCACGATCCGGAATAGCCTGGACTGGACTATTCGAGTATGCCGCGTATGTTCAGGTTTCACGGCATCCCTCAACGCTTTTCTCTTTGTTCGAGGCTGGTGCGGGGGGGCCTCGACTCTATTTTAAAATTCATCTCAAATCTTTAGCTTGCTTGAGATGCACTTGCGACGGCGGGTGAAGTTGCTCCTCTGGACAGCATTTGGTATTTCATCGGAACCAAGATGCTTTCCCAATAAATTCACTATAGTCCCTGGAGAACATGGAGGCTTCTATAATATTGCAGATATGCTTGATGTTCCATTTCAGTTTACTTTCAAGGCACCCTTTTCTCAACAAACAGCCTTCTGTTCGGTCATTTCGGGATCCGAATAATTGTCACAGAAGACACTGTTGTTTCACCTTTTAGCTTTGTGCGTTTTGCTGGTAGGCTTTCCATCGCGAGTAAGGACGGCATTTTGAATGACTAGACTCCAGTAAAATCCAGGCTAAGCCAAGTTGTAAACACGACATCCAGAACTAACCTTCCCAACAAGCGCATTGAACCTCTAATTCTTCATGTATCTACATTCGCACTTACTGGACAGAATTTTTATCCAGGCGCTCAAATGAATCTACCAGAATGAGATAAGATAGTCTGAGAGTCATCGCAAGATTAAAAGCTTAGCAGCTACCAGAAAGCATGAGCCACCCAGTCCGAGCCATTGTTTCGATATTCACAGTGATTTTCCTCCTTGGAACGAACGCAAGCCCTCTACCCTAACCCCAACATTATCCGTTTCGCCGGATCTCTCTTGGAACCTGCACTGGCCTGAAGATGAACAGCCAATTGAAGAGCTGACGTTGTCACCTCGCCCCTGAGTACATAGACTCGAGCAAGATCGAAGGGAACTAACCGTACCCCCTCCCTTGAACCCTCGCCGGACTTTTCCCGAAAAGGCTGTTCGGTTCATTATTCTTATAGACCAAGCTACCGATGCAGGTACAAATGTTCGATTGCCAAAATTTGAAAGACTCTGTGACCCATACATTTATTCTAGAAACATTTGAAAACGTGCTGTTTCTCAACTGGCGGTCTGGACCAGCCGTTAGAATTATCAGTGTTCTTGCATATTTGGAGCCTTTCAGCTGGGTTTAGGATTCCATGCAATCACAGGCATATGTGGCACATGAGGTGGTGAGGCTGATACTCAGGGGTACCACGTCTTTACCAAAGAGTTGAGCCAGGGTATGCCGACTTCTCCGAAGACTTGACTTTTCGAGCCCGCCCTCTCCAACCTCATCCTTTCACCCAACATGGGCGGCTGTTACGGATGCTTGCGTATTGAAAGAGGGTATCCTAGCAATCTTGATCGAGATCCGTAGATCATCATCCACTTTAGGGGAATTTTTCACAGAACTCCAACTGGGTCGTTTTAATTCGGAAGGCTGTTGGCACTTTATCCAACCTCACTTCTGAAAAACCAGCCACACGACATTGACTCGGAAGAAAGTCACTGGATCGCGGTGCCAACTCATCGTGAACAGCGAGTGCCAAGAGGGGAGAACTTTTACCACCTGTTTGACATAACTCTCCTGCCACCGTTGTGTCCGCCTTGTCGCAGATGGGGCAGAGTGTCGTGTCATCAGTGGGGATGCTGCAGTCATCTGCAAAGACCTGACATGTTCAGGTCACAAGGCCAGCTATCTTGCGGAGGAGTAATTGGAGTGAAGGGATTCCATACCTCATACAGAATGCCGATACCGCTGAAACCTTGTCCGGGACTCTTCTCGTCACCCACTGGGACTCATCACGATGAGAGTCTGAAGGGCTTCTTGTCTGCCGCACTTTGTCACGAAAAGGCTGGAGAAAGGGGGCCGGCGCCTGTCACCATCTTGGCACTCGCACGTCCAACCTCTCATAACAGCACTACCATCATTGCACACTACCATTGGTCTACCTATTGTCGCTGCATATGGACAGATGACAGCCTGGGGTTTACGGCGGATGGAGGGGGCGCACAGATGAGCGTGAAGGGGGCACTGGAGAGGTCAAAAAGCCATCGGATGTCCGACGTGGAACCGCGTAATACTCTACGTACTTGAACTCGCAACTTTTCGCAGCCGGCTAGAGAAGATTTCGGGTTCAGAGCTCCCACATGGAAGAGGACTGCATAGAACAAGGGTGTCCGAGCTTCCTTTGGTTGCGGTGAACGAGCTAAGCACATGGAATGCTAGACAACGAGTGCAAAATATTGATGGAGTTCCCACTCTTGGGGTCGTCAAACGACCTTCTTTTCGAGATTAAGCGGCGCGAGAAGGGTCTTCGAGCTTGAACGGCGAGATGCAAACGGAATGAAAATAGGAGCCGTGATTTCCTCGGCGTGTGGCACGGTGCAATCGTTGAACCTGGCAACCCGTAATTTTCACAGACTGATTGACGCCCAGACATCTAACGGAGCTGCCATTTGCACTAGAAGTCTAGTTTGCGACAGGTAAACTCTTTGAAAGTTGCCGTCATTTCTTCCGTCTCCCGCCGGCGGTCTGACAATCCAGCCGAGCAGAAGAACAAACGGCCGCAGGTGCGAAATGATCGCCCAAGAGAGGAAGAGGCTCGCGAAAGAGGGTGGTAGGCATTGGGACTGGTATAGAGCCACACGGGGCACCGTCCCAGGTTCTTCGTTTGACTCCATCCAGTCTGCTTCTCATCCGAGCCACACCACCATCGGCTCTTCTCAACTCAACGTTCGTGTGAAAACTGCCCCATTTCGAATGACAAGGCCAAGAAAGCCATATCGCGCAATTTTCCTCTCGGACCCTTCGTTAAAGTTGGGCGATCATCTGTACCAAGGGTTAAAGGCCACCCGAAAGCCAAAGAAACCCAGTGGTGATGGTGGAGCGATGCGACGTTTCCAAACCCCAGACGATGGATCGTCGTGCTCGGTTCTGAACCCTTAACGATTCAACAGTACCGTCCGTCCCGACACCCGGTGACGCGCCGTATTTCCCAGCCCTCAATTCGTCTCATCCGGCGATGCCAGGGCCCTGGCGAGGAAAACTGGGCTAGAGCCCCTCAGCTCATAGTTGGAGTTCTTATGGGTGTTCTGGAAGTGGCAGCTTAGCGTCTCCCGATCTTTCTGGGATCTAACTCCAGAGGCCACAATCGTGAAGCTGTCATACAAGGATACTGCAGTCGACGTGTCAAAGGTGGTGCACTAGCGCCTTGGGTCTCCTGAGTTTAAACGTCGATGATCCCAGCTCTGAGCCCATGTTAACGCCCAGTTTTATACCTCTAGACCCCAACCACACAGACGCCGCAATGCCTCATTTGCCTCAAAATTGGACCTCGTTTCACCCCGTCCCTTCAGCTCCTACACACTTGGGTTGATGTGATCCCACCATTTTCAGTCTGATTTTGACGTCACCCGTCCGGGATCTCGGCTTCAACTTCCCCCCATATCCCTCGCTCTCGCCGGGGCACATCAGCAAGCCTTACCCGGCCGCGAGATTCGCGTGCATGAGATCGGCTCTGGGGTTATCCATGACTTCCGCCCTCCGCACTGCCCGGTGTGCCGACCACTCACGTCCGTGGGATCGGTGACCCCCGCGAGCTAGAGGCAGGCAGAGCACTATGGAAGCACTTTGGGAGGACAATGGAGGCTCAACGGTCCCTTGTCGAACCTCCCCATCCCACCATTGCCTATTTCGCAATCCAATGTCCCCGCGGTCCTTGTCGAAACTAAGTCGGTGGCTGATCAGACGAAGGAAATCAAGGCCTAACTAACCGAAAAATGCGGTGACGTCGAGGTAAAGAGAGGGCTGGTTGGGCATCCATTTGAGTTTGAGAGCAGAGGTATATTATGCCTTCGGACACCTTCGGAACACGGGTTCATGTTGCTCTTCAAACATCAAGCCCACTTGAAGACTAGACGACAAGACTCAAGCTTACTCGAGAGTCAAAACTCTCTCAACAACGCTTTCACTACGGCGGACTTAACTATTCAAGTCCCCCCCGGCTCTATAATACTTCCTTCCTCGTCTCTGCGCTTGACACGCGACTTCGATCAAATCATGTCAGCCCAGCAGACAGGAACACTCAAGGCACCTGAGGGTGAACCCTCTCCAGTATCACCAGCAACAGCAGTCGATCCAAACTCCTTCTCTGACGACGAGAACCCAATCCAATCACCAAGATTTGTACCATCACACTCCCAACAACCTTCAAGAGGGGGCTCACGTTCAGTCCCTCTCCGTCGCACAAACACCCAGACACGGCAGAGGGAATCAGTAGACGACCCCTTGCCCACTGGTGTCTCTACAAAGTCCACCCGTCCACTGAAGGACAGCGCCCGTTTCGGGGACTACGACGACGATTCGGAAACGGATCGTTATTGGGGAACCAACGACCGTCATCCAGACTACAGCGGAGGTCGTGCACCTCGAACGCGCCCTCCCCGCGCGCACCTGAACCGTCCTCAACCGTACTTCAACTACGACCCCCAGACGGAAACCAAAGATTATTACGAGGAGACTCGCTCCTACGAGCCCGGTGACTACGGCGGCAGACCGCCCTCTCGCAGGATGTACGACGAGGAGATGGCGGGATACCCGCGCAGCGGTGTCGCTGTTCGCAGCACCAACGGCGAACAGGCTCGCATTGACTGGCACAACCTGTCCAGGGAAGAGAAGGCCCAGGTTATGCGTCTGCCTCTCACCCAGTGGATGAACTCGGACTTGAAGAACCACTTTGTCGCAAGTCTCGGCGAGCTCGTCGGCACTACCATGTTCTTGTTCTTCGCCTTCGCTGGCACAGAGGTTGCCAATATCAAATCCGCTTCCAACAACTCCAGCAACCCTTCAGACAGCAACTCCACTACCGGAGCTTCCACGGGATTCAACACCGGCACTCTGCTCTACATCTCCATTATCTTCGGCTTTTCTCTCATGGTTAACGTCTGGGTCTTCTTCCGTATCAGTGGCGGCTTGTTCAACCCAGCTGTTACGCTCGGCATGCTCCTCGTCAAGGCTATCCCCGCATCCCGTGCTGCTTGCTTGTTCGTCGCTCAGATTTTGGGCGGCATGCTTGCATCAGTCATTGTCCGCTTTCTGTTTCCCGAGAACTTCAACGTTCGTACGACACTAGGCGGTGGTGCTTCACTGGTCCAGGGTGTTTTCATCGAAGCCATCTTGACGGCCGAGCTGGTTTTCACTATCTTTATGCTCGCCAAGGAGAAGCACAGAGCCACCTTCATTGCTCCTGTCGGTATTGGCCTGACGCTCTTCATCGCCGAATTGGTTGGTGTTCAGTTCACGGGTGGTTCGCTCAACCCGGCACGAAGCTTTGGACCCTGCGTCATCACGGCAACCTTCGACCCTGAACACTGGATTTACTGTAAGTTTTTACTCTTTTTGACTTCTTCTCCCTCGTGACTAGTGGAAAGCTAATCTTGGTTGTCTCAGGGGTCGGGCCTTTCCTTGGCACAATCATTGCTGTCGTCTTCTACAAGTTCATCAAGACCTTGGAGTATGAGATGGCCAACCCCGGTGCAGATGGTGACCCTGAGAATGATCCTACTCAGAACCCCGCAAAGCTGGCAGAATTGCGCATGTCTCGCACAAAGTCTGCCAAGCAAGGTTGAAGCCAGACAATTAACGACAAAGAAACACGACAGAACCGGCACGATAATGAGGGAGAATTTGATGTGGATAATGATGTTTTCTGATAATGATTTGCAACGTGTCGCCGGGAACTACTATCTCCTGGCAAAATGACGAGAACGTATTTTCTCATGATGAGAAACCAGAGTAAGGGGTGGCGCTTGACAGCTAAGACTCACTTCGTGCTGAGAAATGAATATAGATCTGGGTTTTCTCAAGAAACTACTTTTACGAAACAGTATGCTTTGGTTTCATAGCCTCGCAAATATATAGATTGCTATTGAATGTGGCTCATAACCGATTACTCAATTCTTCTAAGAACAACTTTTCCTCGGGTGTGATGAACATGTGTTCAGGCACAAGCACTTCACCAGGCCTCATAATCAGTACCGCATCTTCCCTCACTGTAGAATCACTCCTACTCCGCCCATCAGCCTCATCAGGTTTTGGTTGCTCTTTGCTTTCCACATCGCCCACATGGCGCCTCCAAGGCACGCGGTGTAGCCGAACATCCTCGGGCGACCACCAATACTGTGGGAAGCGCCGCTGGATATTATTAATGAGTAATGCGACGACCAGCATCAAGGCACAGCCGAGGAGCACAATAGGCACCAAGAACCATCCCAAGTGTACGACACCGTCATCGACGACGGCGAGCAGTGCCGTCGCGCCAGCAGGGGGGTGAACCGTCTTCGTAAGCGCCATAACGGTCGTCGCCAAGGCGCACGACAAGGCTCCTCCCAGCCAGCGAATGGAATCAAAGTGCGGGCTCAGCTGGAACAGCTTGCAGATCGCTACCCCTACGATGGCGGAGAGGAGTTGACCGAGGACTGAGTTACGGGGCTGAGAGAGGGGCGATTCGATCGAGTAGAACTCTAAAACGGCGGCTGCGCCCTGTATCGGGAGGGGAGAACGAGTCAGCCAGTCTGTTACGTTACTGAGCGTCACTTCTTGGCCGGTGAGGTGCCGGTGTGCTGGTGTGCTGGTGTGGCAGTGGTCGGTCGGTGTCGTCACCCGAGAGGTTTATGAAACGGGATGAGGGAGTTGAGGTCCGAGCCTCTATTACCCATCACCCCCTGACGGTGCTGCTCCGTAATCATGCTCGGTGTGTGGAAGGTGGGGATACATGCAATGTGCGCAGATTTCGAGATGAAAGGGGGGATATACTTACAAAACTGCCCACAATAATGGGCGCACCATGGTCTCTGAAGGACGGTATCTGGCGGGAGACGATGGAGACTACGGCGACGCCGCAAAAGACGCCAATACAGGCCCAGAAGATCGAAACGAGATTCCCAACATTCTGTGGCTTCGACTTGCGGTAGCCAAAACAGTGAGAGATAGGGTATGGGAGATATTTCCAAGGAGGTGGCGGAACAAAGGGATTGAGGAATCGATCAATGTCGAAGTCCCAATTCCTTGGGTTGCAGCGCAACATCGGGTATTATGTGATCGTCGTTGCGCCAAGTCTGGGGTAGGACTGGATTGTATGGGGATGCGGAGCCACTATGCCAGGGGACAGAACATGAGTTGCCCTTTCAGAAGCATGCAGAGTCGGAGGGCTATTATTTTCTGCTTCTTTTCAGCAACCTTTCTTCCGTTCATTTGACAACTTGAACTTGAATGTACTTACGTATTCTTCGGCAATAGTTGTCGATGAGAATGCTAACTTCCGTTTGAAATGACAGCACAAGCCACGCACAGGCAGTGGTGGTATCGTGCAAAAAACAAAAAACGTTACACAGCAGCGTGGTGAGAGCAGACTGGACCAAACAAGGGACGAGTTGGCAAGTGACAGCAACACGGCCCATTCACATTTCATCCAATTCGATCCCATCCCAAACCAGACACGGGATCTGGGGATCTTGCATCAGCTTTAACGGCCATTAGTGCCGCGGAGATTCAGCATCTACAACGACCGGCTGACTGTTCGCTTTGGTGTTGACTGGGGAGGCCCCACGTCATATTTAGTAACAGAAACTCCCAAAGAGGCTTAGATGCCGGGCCAGGCGGGCTGCCACCGGGCATATGTGGACCAAAAACGGCTTTTCAACGAGCTTGAGAGCTGTTGAAGCAGTGTTAAAAGCAAACTATTATCTAACAGATGGCAAGTCGCCCATAGGGTGACTGTCTTGGTCCATCCAGGTGAGCAGCCGTGCCGTCCTGGCGCGCTTTGCCCAGGTAGGCTCGGTAATGTCGCGGTATTCGGGAACAACGTTGTTTGGTGCGCAGGATTAGCGATTGTGACTCCCCTTTGCCGCTGTCAAAGCTGTCAAATCTCCGGAATCCCGGGACGGGTTACTACTGTCTCAGAGCTCCAGTCCAGAGGAGCTGACCACATGGTACGCAGGAAGATGAGATTTGAGTCTCGCACTCAGTGAGATTTCTCCTGGGAGCTAAACTATGGGTGTGGGTCCAAGCCTGTCGCTCGCCGTTTGCAAGCCATGAACGCTATGGCGTGCTTCATATGTTCCCAGTTCTAACATTACTCTCGCTCATTATAAACCACAGAGGTGGGATGCCGACGTTACTAGATCTGGCCGCCTTGTCTTTTGATACCGGTACTCAAATACTGCTGTAGTCGCACATTGCGGGGTTGCTTTCAACAATGACTCTCTCACTTCTCTTCCCACATCGCCCAAGACGGCCCCAGCCGTTCTGCTGGAGCCGGCAGCTCCCAAACCTTATAGGGATCGAAATGACGCCCCGTCGCTAAGAAGCTTCGTGGCGTACAGGACAATATCACCACTTGTAACACGGTACACCCCTGTGGAGGTTGCACTGAAGCCGTTGGCATTTCAAGGAGACGCCACAACATTTCGCAACAACCAGGATTGTGCCTCCAAGAGATATCAGTCCAGGAATTGTTTGCTTCTTCCCTCGTTATCGCGGTTACAATTACAACCACCCGGTGATACTGACGCCGATATTCATGTTCGCACGAGGGCCCTGCAGCCTGGCAACAATAACCGATTTGCGAGTGATCGGCCAAGTCGAAAGCGAGGTCCAAGCACAGCTAGTCACCTGATGTTTATCCTGGAGACGTTGGTGGCCCTGCTACACCCCGTCGATTCTCTGCCCGCGATCGATGGACGCAAAAGTTGGCAAACTCTCAACGAGTGCTCGCGGCAAAGTCGGTTGCAACCTGGATTCCGGAGTGAAGTTACATTCATAGTAGTTTCAGGACATTCCCATGCTCTGCGAATCTAGTTGATGCGGTGAACCTTGTGACAGCGAGTCACTCGCCAACTGTCGTTGCGATTGCGAAATCGTTTAAATGCGTTTCCACATCTATTTTCAGATTTGATGCTATAGAACTTCATGATGACTAATTAAGATACCCCGTGGTCGAGGACCTCGCGCCGATGCAAAGGTGAGTCTTCTCGGCGACTAGATAGAGGGTGTCACTTGGCAATCGAAAGTGGAAAGCGATCACATGGGAGTTTATTGCATGTTATGTTCCATCTGAATGAGCTCTAATCTCAGGAACATACTGACTTTGTTCATTCATGGTAATGAAATTCAACTCCCTCTCGCATTGGGAATATGTTAACCCGAAAGTTGGAAAGGCTGATGTTCTGGAATTGATGATATACCACCATAAACCAGGGCTAACATTTCCAACAAAACTACATGTACTATCTTGGTAACGCAATCCTGGTACTTTGTGCTACTGCAACTCGAAGTAAGGTATAACAACACGAAATCACGAGCAAGACGCAAATTCAGAGTACTTCAAGCAGGTATTTCTTCGAGTGCCCATGATTGACTGATATATGAGAGGCTTGATTTATAAAGCAGCGATTTCTGCTGAGATTTTGGGTGCGATTCTAGGCGACCAAGATAAGTCGTTCACCCCTTATAGAATAACGTCAATGGAATGATTTTCCTGATTTCAAGACCGATCTAGCTCACCGAAGCACCAGTTTTTTCTGAGGTTTCATAGCCAACAGTCGTCTGAAGGGGCATCTGAGGAGGTAGTCCTCAGCAGCACTGCACTCAGTTGCCTTGAAGAGGATCGACTTTGTGACGATATGTTTGTACCATTGGTACATTCACCCGTCCACCTGGAGTCCCCCATCGAGACTATTTAAAGTATGTTGGCTGATATCAACGCAGCCCGATAGTAGCATTGCCACTGTCTTCCTTAATACACATGTGTTGATCTCAATTTACAGAGAGTCAAGGGCTTGATAACACGACAGTAAACTCAATCCTATGTACATGTAGGTATGTCGTCCTTTCTTGCTTCTGATCGAACAGGCCCAATTCTCGGTGCCTTCATTCAAGGCAAGACCTGGAGGGAAACAAGCCATTGAACGATTCGACGGCAACATACCTTCATTTCAATCATCGGATGTATAAGGAATCCTTATGGCTACTTTCTGTATTTGAGTACCTTAGTCGACCTTCGCTGCGAGGTTGTATGAAAAGGACTGGGTCCATGTCATCTGCTTGCAGATTCGGCTGGGAGAAATCTCCTGCGTAGGAGCAAGCATTGGCAGGTCGTTGTGATGTCTGAAAAGCCACATTGACGACGCTTCGATGTATAGTGCGGCACTACCCTTCCGTGCAACTACTGCGCAGCTATCACGACACCTCAGTTACTTATGAGTTAGCATTAGGTAGTCGCATTTCATACCTAGAAGAAATTGCTAGATTAAGTCTCAAAAAGCTTTTCAACTGTATTTTACAGTAGTTAGCTGTAGGGCTTAGTCCCTCTGGGGAGCTTTTGCCCCGGAATGCAGCGGCCAGACGCCAGCCCGGATGCACCAACACGGACATCAGCGCGTCATCGAGCAGCCCTATGCGGCTGCGATCACCGATGAGACAGTGACATGATGGTGATTCATGGTGCTCAAACCACTTTCCCATAAAAGCAATCAGAAGCAAGAGAGGCTCAAGAGTTTTATCCAGTGACAGACGGATGAAATCATTCGATTCTGACGGGCGCCAATGATTTGCAAGCGAACTCCAACTGGTGTGGTGATGCGAAATTGGTTTTTAGTACCATCTCGCCCCAAGGTCTTGCTTGTTGGGTCTCAAACTTACTCGCCTTCTGTCAACTCTCGGGGCTACAAATCAACAAGAGCTCTCAGAGTCCCTGCAATCATGGACACCATCAAGGTTAGTACTCATTAGATCGACCCCGTTTGTTGAACTACCTCAGGATTAACAAGATCGTCAGAACACCATCGCCGAGAACTTCGGTGGAGCAGCCTCCAAGCTGGGAACTCACCAATTCAGCTTGGATGAATGTCCCGACCAGTCAGGCAAGGTAGCCGTCGTCACCGGCGGCAGCGAAGGCATTGGCTACGGGGTCACGTACACTCTCCTCAAGCACAACATCTCTAAGATTTACATCCTCTCCGTCTCCAAGGACGTTGTTGACGGCGCCAAGGATGCCATCGCGAAAGACCTTGGTGCCGACAAGGCCGAGCGCACGAAATGGTTTCAGTGCGACATGGGTGACTGGAAGCGCGTCAAGGAGGTAGCCGAGAAGATCAAGAACGATACAGATCGTCTTGATATCTTGGTGAATAATGCCGCGAGGGGTATCATGACCTACCAGCTCACTGACTACGGCGTCGACCGTCACATGGCCGTAAATCACATGGGACATGTCATTCTTACGTCGCATTTATTGCCTCTCATCAAGCAGACGGCGGAGAAGGGTGACGTTGTGAGAATTGCGAACCAAGCTAGCAATGCGCATCAGGCTACCCCCAGCGACTGCAAGTTTGAGAGCCTGGAGGAGCTGAATACCGACCTGGGTCCCAACGGTCAGTATGGTCGGAGTAAGCTTGCAGGTATCCTGTACGCGAGGTACTTCAACCGGAAAGTGACGCAGAATGGGCATCCGAACGTTTTGATGAACGCAACTCATCCTGGGTTTGTGAGCACCAAGATGAGCAAGGAGGAGATTTTCGAGCCGTGAGTTACAATCTGAATGGTCACATAACCCAAAGCTTCGTATTGACGTAATGTAGGTACCCTCTTGGAGGCTACGCTATGGCGGTTGGAATGGAGCCTTTCAAGAAGTCACAATGGGAGGGTGCCGTGTCGATGGTATATGCGGCGGCCGCCACGAAGGAATCCGGCCAATACATATGCCCTCCAGCGATTCCTGAGCCGGGCAGTAAGCTTGCTCAGGACGACGCTCTGGCTGATCAACTGATGGAGTTGACCCGTCAAATCATCACTGAGAAGACTAAGACGTCCTCGGTGGATAAGGGATGCCCCATGGATGACTTGATTCTACACTAAGTTCTAACTCGTATCGCCTCAGATACTGAGATCGCCCTCTAATGGTTAGATGTGAATGGGAATAATTATTAATCTAATTGTTGAAAATACAGCGCCCGCTATCGATGGAATAAAGATCCTTCCCTCCTCCTCTGGTTTACATCGCCCTCCAATCCAAATCCGCACCTAATCTCGTTCGGCGACCAGAGCATGCTATCTCTTGCGCGGGGGTATCTTCCTCCATCCGGACCCATTCCATCTCCAACATTCTGACCCATCACGCCGTATCCCAGCTTCAGCTTCTTCACGTCCTTGGGTACATCGCCTCTGTCTCTATCGGGACCTTCCCAATTGACCTTCTCCAACGCTGGGCCCCTCGTCGCCGCCACCACGCTGGAGAACCGCGTGTTCCTCAATACACCTCCATTCTCATTTACCGCGAACCCACCAGCAATCACGCCCATTATAGCTAGAAATATGGCGATGGAGTACACGATCCACAGGTCACGTTCATGGTAGCTGTACATGTTGGCCATGCGCGACTTCTGGCAGGGGAAACGATATGCTGAATGATTCCTGTCAACGCCGCCCTCGCGCAGCCCGCCCGAAACCTCATCCGGATGAGCAGCCCATACGACGGGAAGGAACTGCGGGGTCGAAAAGATGGAGAGGATGAGGTCTTCGTAGAATTCCTGCACCATATCCTGCAGATCAAAGACGGGAAAGTAGTTGTTGCGCGGGTCGAGGAGCTTCGTCTGGATGGCTTCCGTGTTAGCCATCGGATTCGCGGATTGCTTGTCGATCTGCACAGTGCCGTTCAGGAACTTGCGGAGCATAAAGCCCAGGGAATGGTACGCGGCGATGCGGCGGTATCTTTCAACATCTTGAGGGACGACGTAGTTTTCTTTCGGGGTCGCAGTGATGTTGTCTGCTGTGCCATCGTTCGCGTCGAGGCCGGGGATGTAGGTTGTATTGATGACAGGTATGGTGAAGTTGTGTTTCTTCATGTATGCTGACTGTGTAGTGTCGGTGTAGTTGAAGACGGCAGTGTACTCCGTTACATAGTGCTCGCATGCAAATATCTTGGGGACGTATTGCATTAGGTCATCCTCTTCCTTTGATGAAGCCGGATGGTCCGCGTCGGGCGGAACTACGTGACCAATCCAGATGACCGGCTCAGTGCGAAGAGCTCCCATGTGCTCAGGATATGGCGGCTTCATCTTTGGGATACCCCCAATCTCAACGTCCTTCATCTGCGTGGTGGAGTATTCTCCTCCGCTCGTGAAGGCGTAGTACGCGTACGTTCCTTCAGGAATGAGAATATCCGTTCCAAACGGCGGGGGAGCCTGCCCAGACTCTTGCGTAAGGTTCGTGGGTATCGAGCCGATTCCCCTGGCCTGTTCGCTACACTTATACCCCGGGGCTGTGAAGTCTATCTCGAAAGTACAGTTCCAGCCCTTGCTGCACACCTCCGTTGAGGCGTTTTTACGCGCGACAACTTCCTGCAGAAAAGCTCCGAGAGTCGCGGTCTGCTGAAAGTTGGGACTTGGCCCGGTGTAGTAGTCAAACCAGCCCTCCGGCTCAGAGTCCGCCGGCTTGGTGGAGTTCCAGATGGACAGCGGCATCTCATAACGGCCGTCGATCTTGATGGGCTTTCGCCAGTCGTGAGTGTCCTCCCTTGCAAAATTCAGACTGCGAACAGCCGGGCAGGTAGTGTTTTGCAGAATGGTCTTGGGCTCAACAAGCAAAGTGTTGGCTGTGAGAATGACCACCAAGGGAGAAAGCCTATGACCTGTGTGAGCAGATTTCCTTCATAATTTCTCATCAACTTGGATTTTTGACTGCTTACCAGACGAACAGGGCCAAAGCAGCCGCCACCTTGGCACCCTTGAGAAACTCCAAGTTCACAAAAGCAATAACGTTCTCCGTAGCAGCGAACATGGAATCCAGCGCGGCAATACTCATAAACCTCGATCTCACAGTCGTCCAGATCCGCTGCTGGAAGGCCGATATCACGGCGGCACCCAAACTCGCCTTGGCAGCGAAAGCCAGGATCGTGCCGTACCTAAGCATGCGCACCTGGTCGTCCGCGGGTTGGCCGTCCAGGGTGTGATAGTAGACATGGTGGCCGATGGCGCAGCCGATGCCGAGCAATAGCCACAGGTACATGTTCCATGATGAGTGCCAGTTGCAGCGGGGTCGTTTCATTCGAAATGGCTTGTTCCTGTCATTTGGCGGGCCTAGATAGTTCTCGGGGACGTACGGCGGCGGTTTTGGGGGCTCGTGATCGTGATCATGCTCGTACTGCTGCTGTGCACCGGCAGGAGGTGAGCGATGCCCATCGTAGACAGATTCTTGCGCATTCTGCAGCAGGCCGGCACGGGCATCATGGCGCTGGTCTCCGCCGCCTCCGCTGCCGTGGTGGTGAAGCGCGTCCGCTTCTCTTGGAGAATCATCAGGCGACTCCCGGCCGTGGAACGTGGGATCAGCGCCGTAATGCGCCGATCCGCTAAGCGAGCTCAGGTCGATGCCATGCGTGTCCATCGGGCCGCAGGTGGTCGTCTTCTGTGCCGTGGTGTCGTCCTCGGGCGTCGTCTCGGTGACATGGACGGATGGGCCGAACTTGTTTGGTGAGAATAATGATGTGAGCGGCACGGGTTTGCGAGGGATGGAGTTTGTTCGAGCGTGCCATCCCAGTTGCGGAGATGAAGTTGTTGACTCTGGTGACACGGGAGATACTACTTCTGATGCAGGTTGAGGAGCTTGATGAGGAGGCGGAGGTGAGCTTGGGGAGGATGGGATGGAGGATGCGCTAGTTCGCTGGCGCGCATCGAATCTGCCGAGGGGCTGCGGCAACGTCGTCATGTTCGCTGTCAAATGTCTGTCCGTATAGCTGGATGAGATCCAGCTGGAATTTCAGCCCCCCCTTGATAGACTGGTCCCACGGGGGAGAGACAAGACACACAACCAGTCTCACACACACACCCAAATCGCCCATGCATGTGCCACCAGGCAACCACAAAAAGCAAGAGCCACGAAAGCTTTCGCGCGGTTGGCGTTCCCTTTAGTCGGTCGAGTCACGGGCCTCTTTTCTCCCTGGAATACAGTAAGCCTCGTGGCTGTGTCGTGAGTCCGCTTTTGCTGCTTGGCCACGCGAAGGAATCCCTTTCTGCAGTCTCCCGAAGGCGGAGTGGCGCGCGGGCGTGGTAGACACGGGATGGCTGATGCGTTTCGATCTTTGCTTTCGTACCAAGAACCGGTTCGTCCAGTCTCCTTCCCGTCAACTATGTTCCGGGGTCCCGGTAGTGTGGGTTCTTGTCGCTCCTCCGTATCCGAACGCTACCGCCGGATAGTTGTCGATCGGCGCGTATATCCGTTGCGCAATGGAGACCAAAACCTTACTTTACCAGAAGTTTTTTCTCTTCTCAAAGAATCACTGGCACGATCCATCTGAAATTTCGGGGACCAGTGGAGCATTTGTACACAGGGATGGGCATTTCTGAACCCTCATCAAACCCATGTCGGCCCTCCAGCCCCCTTTTCCCACGCAGTTGGGACCAGCCGCAACATTCTGGGCCATTCTGCTGACACCGATGGTATGGGACGCGCCAATGAGACGGCACAACAACTTTTGAGGGGGAAATCTTCCAGGTTTCAACAGTCTGACTGTTGGTCTTCTGCTTGAGGTCGCCATTTGATCGGATTTGCGACCAATAGTATGCTACCGTTGGAGAAGCTGAGCGAAGGATTCAACAGTCCCCGTTCCAGACTCTCTCGGTTGCGATGCAGGATACAGGTGGGTGGGCGGTGTCTGACTCGGCGACACTTGGTCCCCAAGAAGAGCTCAATCCGTTCCGATACTGCTGTATTAGCGGACCTGGGTCCGGAAAGAGTCAGAAGCACCCACAAAGGGTCCTTGGTCGTCCTCTCGATCGTCTATCGTTTGTGAGTGAAGGCTGTTTTTTGTCTTCGACATTATTCGAAAAGTCGATCAAACCAATGTGTCTTGAATGAAACGGACCCATCCTCTGCAGTGACTCGAGCACACCCTCGCATCGCATTTCCGCGCGACGCCCGAAGCCTCTCGCCCCCAAGCTTCATCGAAAGCAGCTTTCATACTCATAAAGATTGGCATTTTGATATCCCGGACTACAAGTGACTAGAAGTTTGTTGTCAATCATCGCCATTTACATGTAGGTAACAATAACAACGGTGCCAGCTCAATATCGTGCCAGGGTTCTTTAGTGCAGAACGCCGTCGAAAGACAAACCGCGGCGACCAACAGACCCTGGGGCCATCTCCCGTTCTCTGTTGGTCTATTGGAAGCCCAAGCAGCCCATCCCTTATTATGAAATGATATCGGTCCACTATAAAGGGTCTGCTGAACCGCGCTTCAATGTTTTCACCATCACACGGTCAGCGACCAAGAGATTGGTTGGCCGCCTAATATCCCACAGAGATGCGACTGAACAATCAGACAATCCCAGAAGCAAACATGGCGATCCCTGGCTGTAACAAAGATAGGGTTCAGTCCCGGAACGGGTTCGCTCGCCCCCAGCCATTGACGTCGAGAAGAATAGAAGGGCGTTCCCCGCACAAGATAGCGTGCTAGAAGTGTGCTGGTAGGTATATCAACATGTGCAAGGGCCGTTCAATCTAGAAGACTTTGCAGCTGTAGATCTGTCGCATCGTCATCGCTTCTTCTGCGTGCACACGCCGCCGACAGAAAGTCGCGCCGCGCTACGCAACAGTGGCCATGTCTCCCCAAGATCAGATCTCCGAAATGCGAGGCACGAACGATATACTCGTTCTACCCTCGTTGTACGGCAGCTTTGCGCTCTGTGCTTTAACGCTGCTGTCAATTTGGTATCTCGCGTCGTGGCACCGATTACGACATATCCCAGGTCCTTTCCTTAACTCTCTTTCGATTCTACCTATGCAGCATATGACAAGAGGTGGAAAATTGAGTTTCATGTTGAAAGATCTAGGAGACAAATATGGTAAGATTCTCAAGCGTGCGT